CAGTGATTGATTGAAATAGCCCCAGGCAGTATTTACCTCTCTTTAAAATGAGCTCCAAAGGTGATATTCACACAGCCAAAGTTACGAATCACTGAGGTGTGCACTAATCTTCAAGCAGAGCTCATCTAAATATTACATGGGGAGCCTGGCTGGCGTGGCTCAGTGGTTGAGCATCAACCTATGTTTCTATGTCTCTCTCCCTCTCCCTTCCTCTCTGAAATCAATAAAAATATTTTTTAAATCCTACCTGAGGTGCTTTTAAGAACTAGCAGGTCCCACTTTAAGGGGAATTTTTTAAGCTTCCCATTAATTGAACCAGGCTCCTGACCTGCATCTGAGACCTCAACAATGATAAAGTACATAATTATTTTACAGATAGAGGCCAGGAGAGTGAAAGTTACCTACCAAAGGATATGCTGAGTTAGGGCTGTCCTTCCCCAGGTCTCCAGTGTCCAGTATGGAACAAGTGTTCTGAACAATAAATGTATGGCATGTGCATGCACACACATAAAATTTTTACTTTTTGTTCTTTTCTGATTTTTACTCTCTTGAGAACCACTTGAAAAGTGGGATGAGACCACATGGCTATTCAAGAGGAGGTAGATACCAAAATTTAAGGAAAAGAAAATTCCAGCAGGTCAGTATGGTTCAGTGGTTGAGTATCAACCTATGAACCATGAGGTCACAGTTCAGTTCCCAATCAGGGCACATGCCCAGTTGCAGGTTCAATTCCTGAAGGAGACACATGCAGGTGGCAGCTGATTGGTGATTCTCTCTCATCATTAATGTTTCTATCCCTCTCTCCTCCTCTCTCTGAAATGAATAAAAGTATTTTTTATAAAAAAAATCTAACAAGTCAGGAACCCACATTTTTAGTTATATTCTTAGAGTTTTAGTAAATGCTTTTTAAAAACCCTTATTTTTGAATTTACTAAATATGAATTTTGAATGAGTAAGTGGCACAAACTGGGGTTGGGTATATGGAATCCTCTGGGTAATGGAACATGAGAGATTTTAAATGTGCTTGACCTCACACGCCTTTGGCTCACCAGGCTCACCATGAGAAAGAAGTCAACTCTCAGGTTGCCCGTTTTCTGGAGCCAGGCTCCAGAATGAAAACATGGAGCCAACCTAAGCCCAATCTGAAGCCTCGAGGCAAAACCCAACTGACCCATGCATAAAAAACTTAGATGCTGATTGTGGTAAGCCACTGTTAGGATGGCTTATAATGCAGTATTACTGTAGCAATAGCTAATAAAAGTAACTTTCTTTTTTAAAACATAAGGGCACTTTGGAAAAAACTCAAAGTAATATATAAACTTAAAAGTATTTAAAATATCCCTGGAAAGCAAATAGGAAGGTGAGGCCTTCTGTTGCTTTAAGTAGTTAAATCACCACGCTCTGAGTTGAGAGGACTTGGGCAAGGCCTACAGAAAACAAGGAGAGCTAAACTAGAACAGTGATTTAAAGCTACTTCCCTCACATCTCACTCAGTGATGCCCTAACCACTGAGGAGCTCAGCCCTCCCTGAAGTACTAGAGTTGCTACTTCCTGGTGAAATGTTGCCTCTCTCCCACACTGTTAAATTTCCAAGTTATGTTAGCTGTACCCAGCTCAAAAAGCAGTGCCCTTGCCAAAACCGATTTGGCTCAGTGGATGGAGCTTCAGTCTGTGGACTGAAGGGTCCCAGGTTCAATTCCGGGCAAGGGCACATACATTGGTTGCAGCACATACCCGGTAGGGGGTGTGCAGGAGGCAGTTGGTCAATGTTTCTTTCTCATCGACATTTCTAGCTCTCTATCCCTCTCCTTTCCTCTCTGTAAAAAAATCAATAAAATATATATAAAAAAAAAAAAAAAAAAAAAAAGCTGTGCCCTTATATACCGGTTTCTTGGCACTCAGCAACCAAGTAACCAACAACATCAAAATGGGATAAAATAGTCCAAACCTAACAATGAGGAAAAAGAAATATACCTTTATCCATTTATGAAGATAAAAATTATAAGACACTACTGATTTAATGACAACTCTTAGAGGGAAAAAAAAGGACTCTACATTAAATGTACACAGAAGTTTTAAGTGGTATTCTGATTATAATATGAAAATGTGAGGAAAATACATCTTAGAATAAAGAAATACTGCAATTATTCCTTTCATACCACAATCCTTTCTTCCCGTAAGAATATTCTTTCCTATTGACATAAAATCCAGATCAAAGAATCCAACTGTAACAAACTACAGAACCTATTACTAAGACCTTCAGTAAAACATATTATTTTAGAAAAACAGTGATATATTAGCCTAAATAATGTAAGTTTTGTCACATGCTAAGTCTACTAAGGACTGTTTAAAATAACCCTTTTCCAACATGGGCAGTATCACTCACTAAGCCAAGATTACAGACACATTTCTTAAGTCAAATAGAGAATAATATTTAAGTAGAAAATAATGTTAGCTTCATCTATTTGCCTCCCATATTCTTCTAATATATGAAAGTGAAACTGAAAAATTAGAAAACAATGTTAGCATCAATCTTCTGTCACTACTGTTTTTCTGATGTGTGCATAATTCGACACAATCATGTGACCTGCCTTATTTCATTTATTCATACTTAGTATCATGTACCCATCCAATGATTATTTTTAGAGCCATCTCATGTGTCAAGCACTGCTCTAGGCCAGGGATATAGCAATAATCAGAATGGACCTATATGCCACGGTACTAAAAACTAGGGATACATAGTACCTGCTCCACAGAGTCAATCCAGGTACCTCTTCTAGTACAATCAAAAAGAATAAGTTTAAAAAAAAAAAATAACTAATAAGACACATTGGTAAAATAGTACACCTTAGATCTGCCTCTTCTTAACCCCTTCCCAACCAACCCAGCTTGGTTCTAGTACAGTATGGAATCAAGCCAAACATGACTCCCTGTTAAAAAAAAAAAAAAAAAAAAAAAAATTATCAAAACAATCTATGCTATACCAACCTTATTAACTGGATTAACAGTTCTTAGTTTTTAAAATTCTCAGGCAGATCAGTATTATACTCTGAATGTAAATGAATCGTTCTAGCCACCTAAAGCAAATGTGTCCCATATTCAGATTCACAGTGCAGAATCTAGAATCTGAGAGAAACAGTTTGGGTTAACCACCCCGCAGCAGTTCTCAAACTTGGCTGCCATTTTGGAAATACCTGGAAAGCTTTTAAATAACCCATTGCTCAAGCTGCACTACAATAAGCAGCAAAGTTTAAAAAGCACAGATACAGAAAACTTGGAGGAACTGGCTGCTTCCCAACTAACCCATGAATTAGAGGTGTGCTTCCTTCCCACAACATGAGCGGTGAGCTTCCTAAACGCTCTTCACAAAGACCTGCTAGGAACCGACTCAGTACTGAATAGGAGTTTGTAGGCTACATGCCAGACTCAGAGGAGAAGACACAAGCCGGAGTACATGGAGTAAAAAGCATTATCTCAAACTGAATGCCAAAACTGAAATAAAGCTTTTAAAACCTTATCCCAAAATGTTAGAAATTGATATTAATAAGAGTAAGTTAAGTTCCCACTGCTAAATATCTAAAAAGGAGGCGGAGGGAAAATAACAACCCCCAGGCTGGCTTGTGAAGGGTTTTTTGTTTGTTTAATACATCTGAAAAGAATGCATATACAAAGAATTGAGACATGAGAAAGCATTGGTTCAACACTAATGAAACTACAAGAATTAGGATTTGGGGAAGGTAGAGAATATTACCTGAACATTTTTTTTTTAAATGTTGGGATCTGCAACCAAAATAAACTGATAAAATCCCTATTAACACTTATGAAGAGTCTTCATAAGACTCTCTCCATGGTTTTTATTAAACTAGAGAGCCTCGACTGGCTGCTCTAGGGTTCCCCATGCAAAACAGAAATAAGGGGATTCCCCTGACTGGTCCCCATGTTGTTAAATGTTCTCCCCACTCCCACCCCGCCCCTAGCTTCTTAATGAAGCAGGTCTCCATCCTCATAACTTGAAGAGGATGTGAATCATTCCACAGACATCTGTCTTCTAGCACCCCTCAGATATACCAGGTCTTCAGCTGTGTTCTAGGAACCGTTTCATACACTATTAAGCTGCACATCTATGCTAAGCATGTAAGACAATGACTGACAAGGAAAAAATGTTTTTTTTAAATTATGTACTTAATCCATTTGGTATATTTCAAAAGGTGCAATACTTTTCTTCGTTCATCAGTGAAAGAAGTTAGACATTAACTTAAAAAAAAAATTCAGCAAACGGCTAACCAATTTCCTTGAAAGTCAGTCACGTACAGAGTGCATCCTAGAAAAGGGGGGGCAAGACAGGTTCCACCCACTTGCATGAGTTTCATCAAATACTGAACCTACTCGAGGGTGGAGAGAAAAGGCAACTTTCAAAAAGGAGTATGTTATTAAATGAGGCATTTACTATACTCCTCCCTAAGAGCACCGGTGGGGAACATGTTTTCTAAACTAGATCGAGGAAGTGGAATGTGGAATCACTCCATCCTCCTCACCTAAAGGGCTGTCCGAAGGTTAAAGGATTTTTTAAAAATGACTAAATAAAAACAAACTCCACATACACACCCCTCTCCTCCCACCACAGGAAAAAAAAAAAAAAAAAATACTAGATGTCTCAGATCACTCTCCAGAGTGGAACCTGGGAGCAGCCTCAACAACCCCAATTAGTCTGTTACAGAGTCATCACAAGCATGCCTTGCTTTTAAACAAAACAAAAAACAAAACAAAACTAGTACTGATCACTTTTCTGACAATACACAATTACTCAAAATTAACTAGTATTGAGGGGGGAAAAGGGACCATATCTATGGGCCTTGTTTCACACGAGTGCATATGGGTAGGTGCAGGGCATTTGTCATTATTGCAAAAACGAATTTTAATTTTTAATCTTTAGTTTGGTTTAACATTGCTTTTAGTATGATGCCGAAACCAGCTGTGCAGAAAGGGCTCTGGAGAGATGTTCATAGCAGCACACACCTGCGGCTCTTCTTCGGTTCTGGAGGCTCCAGGGCAGCCAATATTGCTTCGTCAAATACATTCTTTAGGCCTTTCTGAAAGGGGTAGAAAGAAAAAAATGGGCAGTCTGATTTTCAGTATAAGAAAGTAGAAGTTCAAACTAAAAACATTCAAATCCCAAAAGTTGGCAAAGAACAAAACGTTAAAAACAATCCTGGATCTCAACACAATCATCTCACTTCACCAAGTTTTGTCCAGGCAAGGCCCTGGAAGGATCCAGCAAGTCAGAGGAGCAGATATTCATGAGTGAGACAGTGGTCCTTTGAGAAAGCGTTTTGCAGACCAATGTATGTCACAAGAAGCAAACAAGCACACGTGTCATTTGCTCATTCAATATGCGTTTTGTAATGTGCTGCTGAGACATTTTACATAAAAACAAGTGAAGCAGCCCTGCATTCAAATGAAACAGCTGGATATGGGAGGATGGGCACCAGGCAGTGGCATCCTTGTTACATGAAAGCACAGGCAAAGATGGAGAGAGCGATTACAGTGGCTGCAAAGATATTCACTCTGAACTCCCTTTATCCCGCCAATTACAGAGCCAAGGGGATTCAAGGAAGCAAAAATGTGGGTACCTGATACATATATAAAACTAGAGCCAGTCAGTGCAACAGGAATAAAGCTTCATCAGGCATTTATACAAACAATTGTATATCTTTAATTTCAAAATTTGAAGGTAACCACAATTGTATGTTTCCCTCACAAGGATAAAATCAGAAGAAAATATAAAGGTGGCAGCATAAACCTTAAGTCAACTGTTAAAATGGATGCTATTCGTAAAAGATAATGTAACAAATAATCTCATAAAGCAGTAGCAGATACATCAATATCTTTCCCACCCAGACTGACAAATACTCCACTACAGCACAGACAACCAAAGCAATAGCAACACAAAATTTCACTGCACAAAGGAAAACCAGGAAAAAAAATTGTCCCTTCCCCATTACACTCTACCAGCAAGTCACCCTTTTTCCATAAAGTTTGTCATGCATTTACAATTAACAATTGATCATAAGAATAAAATGATGTTTGTATTATTCTCTCCATCTAGAACTAAGATCTGGAAGTGTTAAACTCTTATTTTCTCCAAAAGGACATTCTTAATGCTAGACCAAGTTCCCTTTTGCAATAGTAATCCAAACAAAAAGCTCTGAGCATCAAACAACTCAAGCAGCAACTTGACTACTCATCACACAAAATATTCTGTAAGATATTGCATTCTTGGTCAAAAACTAATACAGAGGTTGCTCTAAAGTGGTGAGTAAAAAGACACAGAGGCTTTCAAACAGGATGGTTTTATTCCTTTGTTTTTAAATGATCTTTCTACAGTAGTGAGACAGGAAGCAGCAGCAAAGAGGGAAGGAGAAACAGTTTAGAATATACAGCACTTCCTTTTGGGTTGAGTTTCCGGAGGCTCGAGGGCAGCTAGGATAGCCTCATCAAACACATTCTTCAGACCTCTCTACAAGACAGAGGGGAGGAGAGAGAATGGCAGCCAGGTTAGAGGTTAGAAAGACTAGCAGATACAATAGCAGTCTGGATTAAATGGGCTGGATTCACAGAAGCAACGTGCCTTAAGAAAAATAAATGCCAGAATGCAAGACTTAAGCCCATTACTGAACAGAAACTTCTTACTTCAAAAAGGTTAACTGAATAAGAAAGCAATTTTTATGAAAATGCCATATGTTGACAATCTAATATTACATTTTAATGAAAATAATACCAGGAGAGGAAAATGGATATGCAAACACAAGATACATTGTGTAAGTAAGCCTTATAAATTCCCCAGTATTTCTAACAAGAAGAATGGCACACACATTTTGAAATCTATTAAATTTCAGAATTCTGTGAATTCAGCCCCTGAATAACTGAAGTACACAAATAGCAGACTAACAGGCATGCTACATGTTTCTAGATTCAATGACATAGCTGGATGGAATTAATCAGGATCTCAAAGTCAAACAGTTTCCCAGAACAAAAAGGTTCAGACATTTAGAAAAAGTGTTAATTGTTCAACAGTACCAACTGGGAAAAATTTAAAGAACAGACTCTAGAAACAGCAAACACTTCAGTTATTCAGTAATGTTATCAAAGCAAGTAACCACCACCCAAGTTATAGAAAAACAAAGAATGGGGTCTTAGAATGAGTTTTAGCAAGCAGTCCAATGCTTTAAGGTGTCTGCATGAGTATCAGAGCATAAAAGCATGGAGTGAAAACAGAATATTCTCAGATCTACAGAAATTAAGATGCATAAATACACTTACACGCAGAACTCCAACGTGACAGTGATTCAGTAGTACTGGTACCTTGGGCCCAGGTCTACAGACTCACTTAAACTCACCTAAATCTGAAGCCAAAGGTTTACCACCCAAAGAAGTTTCACATGTTCTCTATTTCAGTTTGGTCCCAAATAAAAAATTTGCAAAAGTTCCAGAATACAGTTCCAATAACAAGTACCAGCCCCAGACTATCCCAGATAATCCCACCCCTACCCTATTCCCACCACAGCCCCAATACATTCCCACCAAGACATCCCAGAGGCCTAGCACTACGCATTCTATTAGGTACAAAGAAAATCAGAAATAATAATAAGTACTTAAAAGAAGCAAAGCAGTTAAAAAGCTTTCTTCTTTCCATATCTTTTACAAAGTAAAAATGCTAAACAAAAATTAAAGATCCTCTGAAATTCTTTCTACACATCTAGGAGCAAGTTCTAGTAGTCAAATATGAAAAGAAGAAGGGAGAATGGAAAGTGAAATACATTCTATAAGGGAAAAAAAAAGTGGAGAACAGCAATTAGAAACTAGAGCATTCCTTAATAAGAAGGAAATCTTGTTGTTTATTAGCAAAAATCAACTAATTCCCTACAAAACAAAACTAATCTTCACTTTTACCCACAAACTATCTGATTATATAGTTTATTTTTAGAGAAATCAACAAACAATTTATAGACCTGAAAGTTCTAGCTCCCAAACATAACCACAGACCCTATTTTCTATCTTCTCTTTTAACTTCTCCAACATAAAAATCTGGTAAGAAAAACACAATTGCTAAGACCTTTTCAAATTGTTATTCTCTGCAAAATGATTTACTGTGTAAACCTGTAAAAAAAATAAAAAAAGTCACATCTAGAAGCATCCAATTCTCTAAAATAAGCTTCACCAGTAACCTAAAATTGGATCCACTTAGCCTACTTGCCTCCATTTCCCTCCCAAAACGACCCATATTTAGAGAAGAGGGGGATGCACATAATTAATTATACTCTGGCACACACGGTCCACACATAACCTTCCCCAAAAACACTTTTCCGAGGATGGTATCAAATTACAGAAGCATCAGGCATTTTTTAAAACTCTCAGTAAGTGCTGTGTGTGATAAGATGAAAAATCTTATTTAGTTTTAAATATCTGCTTTTATAATACAACTAAATTGTCAAAGAGAACTGGGTTTGGGAGAATAATAGGCCTTAAAATTATCCTGTGTAATATCCAGATAAACATGAAAATTTTATCTTTATCCAACCTAGTGCTAAACAGAAGATTACTGAGTTATGTCTAGGCCCCACATACTAAATACCAAATATATGCACAATATGCATATGCCATTTATCTTACTATATATATATATAATCAAGATTAATGTAACTAAAATAATCTCTTCCCTTCAAACCTGCCCTAATTTACTTGGGCATGTTTTTGTCCATTGTTCAAAAGTCAAAGCCACCAGTAACTAGTAAAATAAGAGTTCTGTGCAAAGTAGTTCCATAATCCTTTCCTTTGCCCTCAGATGGAGAATCATTTGCAATAACCATGCAAGTCAAAAAAATGAAACCACGGGTCAGTTACAACTCTCAGTCTACATATTCTAGCACTGTTCCCTGTCCTCAGAAGCTGACATTTCCCATCAAGCTATGAGAAGAGTTCCAATTAAATCATTCCGAAAGAGACAGAGGAAAGAGGGCCACATAAAGAAGGAATGCCTCCCAAAACTGTAGAGACACTATACATATAAGATGCTTAAGAAATAGCCATAGCAACTTTCTCTGACATGAAAGTCTCTATTATGACTAATTCCCTATCCCAGAAACAGTATAGCATTAATTGTTAGAATAGAATAAACAAGAAAAGGTCAATACTATTTAGATAAAAATTTAGTGTTGGGGGGGGGGGGGTTGTAAATTTGTGCTTACCTGGACCTTCCTGTAATTTTTTAAACACAATCCCTGACCACTACAAATGACTCAGCACAACATGGAAGCTCACCAACACAAGAGCTTTACTTAGAGACTAATAATTTCTCCCTAAATACAGACATCCAGAAAAAAATATATACACTATGAGGCTGATCATAGTCTTCCTAGGCAGCCTTCTTGACCACTTTTAGGAACAACCCCTAAATCGTAACGCTCAAAGAAACTATTCAGCTGCAAATAAAAATCGGGTTCCGCAAGTCCTCACCTGTGTGAGAGCAGAACACTCCACATACTTGACAGCCTTCAGGTCACGGGCCAGCTTTTCAGCAGTCTCTGGAGTGATAGGTTTCTGTTTGTTCTTGGCAAGTTTCTCAATCGTAGAGGGGTCATCTCTGAGATCAATTTGGGTCCCAACAAGCAAGAAAGGAGTCTTTGGACAGTGATGAGTTATCTCAGGCACCCACTAGAGGAAAGGTATTTTAAAAATTACACCTTCATTAACCTGCAAGTCTCTAGATCTATTTTCACGTCAATAGAAGTTCTGTGACAACATTTTTCAGGACAACGATACCTGACCAACTCACCTTTTCTTTCACATTTTCAAATGAGGATGGAGAGACCACTGAAAAACAGACTAGAAATACATCTGTTTGTGGATAACTCAGCGGTCGTAATCTGTCATAATCCTCTTGCCCTAGGAAGGAAAAGAATTGGAGAAATCATCAACTCAATGTTGGTATCCTCATCGTATTAAAATTACCAGTCAACAAATTAAGTATGCAGCTAACAGTACAATGATTGTTAACGAGAAAGCAACTTACCTAATAAAATGTATGGCTTTATATAACACTAGTGCCCCAGTGCACGGATTCATGCACCATGCACACTGAAAGGAAATTAATTAGAATGTGGCCAGCGGGGTGGGACTGAGTAAGATGGGTCAGACATGCCCTGGAGCCAACTCCCCGCCCCCTCTACGGTCCCTCCCTGGCCAGCCGCACCTAGGGCGGTGCAGTGGCTCAGAGGGCGTCTACACCTGGTAGTCATTGAGCATCATAGCTACCAATTGGACGGTCAGGTGGTCACTTAGGCTTTTATATATATCAGTAATATTTGAGAAAATTCTCACTGTGCTAATTCTCCTTAATATTTCAAGCCATTAGAATATTATTTGCATTATTACCAGTTTGAGGTTTTAAATCTTTGTGTCCATTAGCAATCCAACAGTATAATAAACACATTAAACTGTTGCTACAGAAATGGTTAAAAATTACTCCTACTCAGATCTGGTTAAGAAATGATTACACTGAAACCATCTAAGGCAGTGGTCGGCAAACTGCAGCTATAGAGCCACACGAGGCTCACGAGCCGGTTTACTGCTCTGTTGACTAATGAGTTTGCCAACCACTGACCTAGACTCTCAATTCCAATAATTACAGACTGTTGTTCCTTGTGATTAAACCCCTATCCCAGTGGTCGGCAAACTCATTAGTCAACAGAACAATCGATCTAAGGAAACAAAAATCTCAGTGAAACCCAACTTACAATATCCATTGCCCATTCATGACTACCAAAGCAAGTTCACATTAGTTAACATGTGCAAATAAAACCAGTATCTGAAACCGAGAATGCCTAGGGGGAAAAAACAATACTCTATGGATGCTAAATCCATGGGGAGAAATTCTGGTGAAAAGAATAATATCTGCATGGTTTAAAAGAGCCAAAGGGGGGAATGTAAACGAACTGTGAAAAAATCAGACATCATCTTGACTGAGTGAGGAAAATGACCATCACCAGTGAGTGGTACATGAATATCAACAGCAGTGAGTGACAGATGAAGATTTATATCTTTAAAAAGATTTATATCTTTAAAAAGACAGCACTAATGTGATATTCCAAACAAATAGCATAGTTTGGTCTGTGTTTCCTCATGAGTCTAATCATGAGGAAATACAGACCAAACTCAAAATGAGGAATATTTTATAAGGGGAGGAGGAAGAGAGGATGGACCTGTATTAAAATAATGTCATTTTTTAAATGTCATAAAAAAGCCCAGCCAGGTGGCAATGGCTCAGTTGTTGAATGTTGATCTATGAACCAGGAGGTCACAGTTCAATTCCCAGTCAGAGCACATGCCCAGAATTTCAGGTTCCATCTCTAGTAGGGGTGTAGAGGAGGCAGCCAATCAATGATTCTATCTTATCATTGATGTCTGTCTGTCTGTCTCTCTCTCTCTCTCTCAGTTCAATTCTCTCTCTCTCTCTCTCTCTCTCTCTCTCTCTCTCTCTCTCTTCCCCCACACCTGCCTTCCTCTCTAAAATCAACGAAAAGTATTTTTTTAAAAAGAATAGTAAAGCAAATAGAGCAAAATGTTAACAATTGGAAAATCCGATTAAAGGGTCTATGGAAGCTCCTGGAACTATTCTTGCGACTATTCTGTAGGCTTGCAATTATTTTTCAGATAAAATGATTTTTTAAATAGCCACACACACTTCCAAACTGTGAGGAGGAGGAAGGAGTTATAGGGGAAGGATTTAACACTCTAATTTCAAAACTGAGCTATAGCAATCCTATGTATTAAAAAGAGATATTTAATGACACTGAACTCTATACACTTAATAAAAAATTTTTAAAGGTCAGAAAGACAAGTTAAATATTTTGTGTGTGTGTGTGTGTGTGTGTGTGTGTATTTTTGTCCACCATTGAGAATATAAGAATTTAGAGAAGCTATAAAAAACGTGATAATAATTACAAACCAAAACATTAGAAAATATATCAAGTTTTCACCTGCAGTATCAAAAAGTCCAAGAGTATATGGCTCTCCACCAATCATAACTGTGACTGCATAGTTGTCAAAAACCTAAAAACATAAAAATACACTGTTAGTGTGCAAGGCGGTGGACAAAATGAGATAGGACAACTCTTAGACTAAGGCAATGTTTTCTCCCTAAGACTTATTCCTTTCTTAGCTCATCTTCTTTATATATAACAACGTTGTCAACCAAGCCTTTTGCATGAGCTAATGGTTATTGGGAAAAATTATAGGGGGTATTCTGGAATGTCTGCTCTACCCCAGCAAATGTCTGGAATGTCTGCTCTACCCCTGGACAAAAGGGTTAGAGATGTCACAGTAGCAGAGTCCCTACCGATACAAAATGACCATGGTCAAGTTTGAACATTTTGAGACATTAGTTTAGAGTTTACCTCAATGTTCAATCTGACTTCAGAGAAATTATTTCTTCATAGATCTTTTCCTTTTAATCTAGAATTAAAATCTCCTAGGTCCATGATAATCTTTTTCCCTTCAAGGTTCAAGATAAGAAGAGCCTTGTTGCCGAAACAGGTTTGGCTCAGTGGTAGAGCATCGGTCTGCGGACTGAAAGGTCCCAGGTTCAATTCCGGTCAAGGGCATGTACCTTGGTTGCCAGCACATCCCCAGTAGGGGGCGTGCAAGAGGCAGCTGATCGATGATTCTCTCTCATCGATGTTTCTAACTCTCTATCCCTCTCTATTCCTCTCTGTAAAAAATCAATAAAATATATTTTTTTAAAAAGAGCCTTGTTGCCAACAGGCCCGTTAGAAAGAAATAAAGGTTTCCTCAAGATAACCAACTAAAGGCTTGTTGGTTTTTCATGGATAAAATTTATGTCACTGGGTACAAACCACATGAGCCAAGATACCTTCTTTGATCTAGATGCTTTTTTTGGTAAAGAGACTGTAAAACCCATGACAAACTCAATATATGTTAATATGGTTGTACTAAGTTATTTGTAAAAATGGGATATAACAGTGCTAAGTGGATAAAGACCCAACACTAATTCATGGATGTCTTTGAATTAATTTACAATTAAAAACCAATGCTTTCCAACTAGTAGGAGGATGTTATATTTTAAGACACCTTGTAGTTACCTAACACTAGTTTTCTGATTCATGTTTTAACAGGCAAGAAGCTTGTTTAGCCCTAGCCGGTTTGGCTCAGTGGATAGGATCCCTAATATAGTGGGCCTGCAGGAGGCAGCTGATCAATGATTTTCTCTCAGCATTAATGTTTCTATTTCTCTCTTCTCCATTCCTTTCTGAAATCAATAAAAATATTTAAATAAATGTAAACAAGAGTGGAGCAAGGACATGGGGGAGGTGGTAGTTAAAGGAAAAGTCAGTTCTTAATAACAAGAACAAGGAAATGTAACTAATGTGGTTAAGCTCTCAAACCATATTGATTATTTTCTTAAGTCATATCTAACCCTTTTCCAGAGATCCACATACAAACACATAAAGCACCCACAAGCCCACCTTAAATAGTCATAAAAGTATCAGAAATGTTTACAAGAAAATAATGTTAATGGAGATGAAACACAAAACTTCTGACAGTTGCCCTCACTATGAAACAAGATCCATGATATCTCTAAAAGTCCCCTTCAATCTCAGAATTTATTTCACTTATAAGGTCCTCAAATGGGCCAACACAAAAAAATTATTTTTTATTTAATTATACACTTAAATTCTCCCCCTCCAAGAAACCTAATTTTGGTCTATCTCATTCACTTTACCGGCCTTGGGGTATTATAGATTGTCAATTCCAAGTAAACATAATTACCAACATTTTAACAATTCACTCTCTTAACAATGCTCATGTCTCTGAAGATTAACCTAAAGTACTCATATTTTCTTCCTTTTTACTTACACAGTATTAATCTACATTGGAGCTTCATAATCCCTAAAACAGCTCACTTAACAGAGGTGGATATTGCCAAGCCCAGCCCTACTCCCCCTCACACCACTGACTGGTCATCTATGTTTAACATAATTATACCACTGGTTGGTCCAACAACTTGGGACAAACACTGAATCCCCAAACACAGTCTTTCACAAGTACCCTAAATAACTCTGTCTCCCTGTCACCCTGTCTGTGTCTGTGTCTGTCTGTCTGTCTCTCTCTCTCTGTGTCTGTCTGTCTCTCTCTCTCTCTCTTTCTCTCTCTCTCTCTATTATCTTTGTAATTCCCATTTTCCCTCTATTCTTCCAAGAAGCTAATAAAAAGATTTGTGGGAGAGGACCCCCAAAGGCTTCTGTTGGTATTCTCATAACAAAAGCAGAGGTCTTCTCCGCGCCTAAAAACCAGTTCGGAGCTCCATTAGTGCTAAGACAACAGCTCCATAAGATCCTCTTCTACTCCCTCAGAAGAATAAGTATAGACATACTACTTTTTCTGAAGTTATAAGACCCCAAAAGCATTCCAGAAGACCTCTAAGTACTGATTAACCATTGGCCAAGATATCAAAAATAAAAAAGTCACCTCATTCCAAGATGTAGAGCATACTTCTCCAAACTGAGAACACCACTCTTTAGAATCTTGTCTACTGGAGTTTTGCCTCCCAGCACTTCTTGCAAACCCTTGTGTCACCCCTTCTGACTTTCCACTGATTTTTCAGCTGTTTAATTTTAAAGTGTATATAATTTACCCATGAGAAGTCAAGATCTTTAAAAACAGGAAACAAAGGCAGACAACAGAAATATTTCAGTACACTCAGAGAAAGAATTTTCAAAAGGATATCAAATTATGTTTCACTAACAGATGAAAGCCTTTATACTTACAGTTGGTACATATTCAGATGGAAATTTGTTTGTTGTGTAGGATATCAGAAGACATGTTTTACCAACAGCACCATCGCCCACAACGACACACTTAATTGTCTGCATTGCTGAAACAGTTTTATATCCACTTTAAATATTTCAAATCCAATGATGACCTACAAAAAGATTAAGGATATTTGTTTTATTTATTTGTACTTACATATGTATTGTTTTCTTCACTTAGCAACAGGTTCATTCATTTAGAGCAAAAACAAAACTAGTACCCCAACTACTATCACTGAAAGAACCTAAAGAGAAACAGTGACTTGCTCAGTCACAATCTATACTATAATAATAAAAGAGAAACATGCAAAATGACCATCATGCTGCTACGCCCACCAGCCAATAAGGAGGGAATATGCAAATTAGAAGGACAAAGATGGCAGCCACCCAGCTGCTGGAGGTGCAGGATTCCTGCTATGAGAGGGAGGTAGGGGGGAACCAAAGGGATCTACAAGAGCAGCACTTGGCTGCAGTGAAGATGAAGATGGCAGACTCTGGCTGGAGCAAAGGCCTGGGTCCCAGGTACCAGAGGAAAACGGGTGCTGGAAGCCAAGGGAAGGAAGACCTACTACATGAATCTCTTCATGCAACAGGCCTCTAGTAATATTAATAAATAAGAGTCACGTTTCTAATGCCTGGTTATTTCTACTTAAATGGTGTTCTTAAAAGTTCAAATTTGTGTAAAAAGCAGCATATGTCTTACTATAGTGAAAGAGAAGAGGGCATTTGTATTTCAGAATGAATCCCATTTAGTATACCAAATATTATGTGAAACTTTTCCTTTAGTTGTATGTGTACACCCGTGTGTGTATACATGTATGTGTACTACACTGCAATATAAAGGCCACTTCTTTAAAGAATGGTCCATATGTCCAAACTTAGAGTTACAGTTACTCAGACTATAACCAACAAGGAGCAAACACCATCATTCCCCTGTAAGAGATGAGCAACATGACAACCCAGACAAAGATCAGGGTAATCCCTCATTCTCAGCAGCTGTTTTAGCATCGGGTTGCATAGTTACTAATTCAATATCTGTGGCATAAAGAGGCCAAAATCTACATTTTTTAAAATATATTTTTATTGACTTCAAAGAGGAAGGGAGAAGGAGAGATAGAAACATCAAGAGAGAATCATCAATCAGCTGCCCCCTACTAAGGATGGAGCCCAAAACCTGGGCATATGCCCTGACCAGGAGTTGAACTGGTGACCTCTTGGTCCACCAGTCCATGCTCAACCACTGAGCCACACTGCCCAGGCTATTAATCTCTTTTTGCCTCAATTTTCTCATCTGTAAAACAGAAGTAATATCAAAACCTCACACAGTTGTTATGACAATTAAATAATATAAACAAGGCCTTGCCCCGCCCACTGTGGCTCCATGGTTTGAACATCAGCCCACACACTGAAGGATCTTGGGCACATAACTGGGTTATAGGTTTAATCCCCAGCCTCGGTAGGGGTGCATGTTGGAGGCAATAAATCGATGTCTCTCTCCCACAATGATGTTTCTCTCTCGTTCAACCCCTCTCTCACAATCAATGGAGAAAATATCGTATGGTGAGGATTAACAACAACAAAAGATTTGGCTTGTAGCTCATACTCAATATGCAAGAATTCCTCTACTTAGTGTGTCAAATAAATCAATTCTATCACATTCTACTTTCATCCACTGAGTCAAAATTTACAATGTAGCCCTGGCCAGGTGACTCAGTTGGTTGACGCTTCATCCTATACACAAAAAAGGTTGCAGGTTCAATTCCCAGTAAAGGCACATACCTAGGTTGCAGGTTCGATCCCCAGTCAGGGCAAGCATGGGATGCAACCATTCGATGTTTCTCTCTCACATCTATTTCTCTCTTTCTGTCTGTCTCTGTCTCTCTCTCTCTCTTTTTTTTTTTTTTTAATATATTTTATTGATTTTGTACAGAGAGGAAGGGAGAGAGATAGTCAGAAACGTCGATGAGAGAGAGTCATCGATCAGCTGCCTCTTGCACACACCCCACTGGGGATATGCCCGCAACCAGGGTATATGCCCTTGACCGGAATCGAACCCGGGACCTTTCAGTCCCCAAGCCGACGCTCTATCCATTGAGCCAAACCGGTCCCGGCTCTGTCTCTCTCTCTTTCTAAAAATCAATAAAAACATGTCTTCAGGTGAGGATTTAAAAAAAAAAAAAAAAAAAGCTTGCACTGTAGTACTGTACTTCCTTCTCTCTTTGGTGAACTATCTAATCAAAGTTTTCATGCTTTGCACATACCAGGCACAACAAAAACAGATTAAAATGAACTGACTATATACACCGCTCTTACTTTAATCTCACACACACACACACACACACACACAAAAAAAACACCACGAAATCCACCCAAATTTTCTTCTTCACCTAAAAACTCCTGTATTATTTCTGTATCTCCTGTGTCATTTCTATATATAGAGAGAGAGAGTAGTCCCTAAAACCAAGTTAGCTAACAGGTATTAACAAAATAATTTAGATAGAGGAACACCAAATTAAGTGCTTTTTTAGTTTACAAATCATCACTGCTTACATGTAAATGAACAAAAACCTGACAGTTACTATCTTTTATGCTTAAATTTAGCCTCTAAACCTATAATTTCAAAATTATCACACCTCAGACCACCATAGTCATAACTATCTTGGACCGAGTTTATTAACAATTTAGATTCCTGGGCCTTTCCCCAAATCTCATAAATCAGAACACTTCCTATGCGATTCTAATGCACAATGAGGTTTGAGAACCACTTTTCTATGTGATAGCAAGATAAAGAATACCAATAACACAAGAATCTAAACTAAGATAAACATGACTGGCATTTTAGGTCACCTAGAAATAGTTTCTTAAAATAGAATTCAAATTATCAAAATGAATTACTGTATCGCCCAGGCATTTTACATATTCAGTAATGAAAGATTCATGTTGAATAAAGATCATGACATAATATATTTCAGAGATGTTTCAACCTAAAAAGTGTTTTCAAATAATAACAGAGACAACAGCAAACATTTCCTATACGCCACATACTGTCCTAAACATATTACACATATTCATACATGTCATCTTTCCAGCAACCCTATGAAGTGAGTACATTATCCCCATTTTACAGATAAGAAAACCAAGTCTCAGTGAAGTAATTATGCCAAGACCAATGAGCCAGTAAATAGCAGAGCTGAAATTTAAACCCAAGCAGTCTTGACTGTCAAGCAAGCCCCTGCTCTAAAGCACTATACTACCTCACCTGAGAATGGACACTGATAAAAACAAACATGATCACTGCAAATGTAGTGGCAAGTATATACCCATGACAGTTGCTGGCATTGGAAAGAGGAAGGCAGAAGAGGAAGCAAGAAACAGAAGTTCAATTCCTGTTTCTTCACCCTGCAGACAATTACTGAATTTTATTGGGGAAAGGGGACAGAAGAATTAGTAACTGAGTTTGTGTTTGCTGTTCCCCTTTCTATACACCCACAAATCTTCCATTTCTTAGGATTTCTGAACTTAATAGCTCAGCAATCTGTTGGAAATTGGTGGTGGGTCTCCTGTTAAGAGCACTGGCTCAGGAGACAGGCTGGTTCTACCATGCAAGCTATGTGACCTTAGGCAAGCTATTTAACTTCTCTATGGCTCAGTATTCCCTCATCTAAAAAATGAAAATAGTAATACCTTCCTCATAGGATAAGTTGATTAAGATAATACATGTAAAGAATTTGAAACAGTTTCTGGTATACAGTAAATGCTGAGTAAATGTTATCTATTAATTTTGAATAATTAAAGGCACTTTTAAGTTAATATAGTTTAAAACATCAATAATCCCAATCCACTAAGAAAGGAGCACATAAATTTTATTTCCAAAATAATTACAGTATTCTTTGTACTTACTAAAAATGTAGTCAAATAGAGTTATTATCATAGAAGTGGTCATTTCAGAATCAAATTCCAATTTGATTAGCTATTCTGCACAACATTTGCTATATAGTGTTAATAATTGTGTGTATTGCCTGGTCAGTGTGGCTCAGTGGTTGAGCATCGACCTATGAACCAAGAGGTCACGGTGGGGTTTCGGGCTGGGTCCCCAGTGGGGGTGTACAGGAGGCAGCCGATCGATGATTCTCTCTCATTATTGATGTTTCTATTTCTCTCTCCCTCTCCCTTCCTCTCTGAAATCAATAAAAATCAATATATTTTTAAATAATTTAATGTATTAAAATATCATCAGATGGGAAGGAAGTAGGTGACCAGAGAAGAAACTTTGGTTTTGCAATATATACAATACCAGCTTCAACAACATGGAGAAAACTAGGCCAGACATGTTTCATATCCTGTGTTAACTTTATGTTGAAACAATGCCAAGTCCTGGCCTGTGTAGTTCAGTTGGTTGGCACAGAAAGTTTGCCAGTTCAATTCCAGGCTGGGGCAAATGCCTAGGTTACAGGCTCAATCCCTGGTAGGCATGCAGGAGGCAGCCAAGGGCAGTCCTTTTTTAAACTTTATAATTTGTTTCCAGAGTCCTCAATAAACAGAAAATAATCTTATAAACTTTGGCACTCATTCAAAAAGTTAAAGCAATACAGATACTGCTAAAAGTTATTTGCCTAAAAAAAGAACCAAAAGCAGCTTAAATATGATCAGCAGTTTACCTCATTTTTCAATAATATATCCATTCCAATTTGAAAAAATAAATTAAAACTGTAATTTATCTTTCAATTAGTAAAAAGTAGACAACCCTGAGTTAGGAGAGAGTTCTCCATAGTTTGCAGGCTCAATGCCCAGTAGGGGGCATGCAAGAGGCAGCTGATGGATGTTTTGCTTTCACGTTGTTTTTCTCCCTCTCCCTTCCTCTTTCTCTAAAAAAAAAAAAAAAAAAAAAAAAAAAAAAAAAAAAATTTAATTTTTTTAAAAATAAGTATTTAAACTCTTATTATGTGCTAATCCCCTATACATGGCCAATGCCTGGAACAAAGTTCCTCTTCCCTTGGGGCAACACTCTACATAGGGTATACAGTCAATAAATAAGCATCATCCTCATCTTCCTCCCAATATAC